TCAAAATGGGATTCGAATTTCGAATAGTTTTTTTCTTCATGGGGTTCGAATTTCGAACAGTTTTTTTCTTCATTATGAGGTGTGAGCGTGGTCCAAGAAAATCTAGGATAGTTTTTCTGTCATTGAGGTCGAAATTGAAGTGAAGACAATCTAGGGTTATTGCAATTGAGGTGGCGATTTTTAGGGTTCTTCGAATTGCACGATCGAAAAGGAGGAATTAGGGCTGATTTTCTGATTTTCCCAAATTAATAATGGGTGTGCTGCGATTTTCCCTCCAAAATTCCACGTCTGTCCACGTCGGATAATTAATCACGCCACGTATGAAGAGCCCGAAAAAGAAAGAGCCACGTAATAAATTAATCACGCCACGTCGGATTTTTATCAAGGGGGGTGATTAGTGTGCCGTTTCCGACCAAAATACCAACTTCGTGTCTCTTTTTTGTGCGTGCCAACATAATGTATCTTTTGTTGACAACGACCAACTTAGTGTATCATTTTTGTAATTTTGCCTATGACTATGGCTTTGGGAAGAAATGAATTGAGGGTTTTTCGCCCCCATGTAGACTTGGCTTTTTCGGTTTCGGGTCGGTTCTGGGTCTGAACCCCCAGTTCCGAGTCGAGGATTGGAGGACCCAGAACCGGCCTAGACATATGCACGTGTCTGTTCAGTGAACTGCTAGTTCTGGGCCGGCCCAATTCAATTAAAGAAATAAAAAATAATAAATTTTATTTTTTTAAATAAGGCTAAACCGTCGGTTTCAGTTCCAATTCAAAATCGGTCCGGTCAAACCCGAGGCTCGATTCACAACCCATTGACCACATACCAGTTCAGGCTAAACCATCGGACCGTGGCCATGTCTACCTCACGAGGGAGGTGTGTGAAAACTACCAATCGGCTAACTAAATTAACTTGGAATAACTAATGAATTGAGTAAAACACTCAAAATCCTCTTACAGCCGCTCAATCATGACGATGTAACATCTGAGAGCATCCAATGTCAAATTTGAAGAAAAAGCTTGGAAATCATCATCACCATCTAACTTATCAAATCATTTGATGTGCGCACAAAATTTTGTTGACTTATCTATATTGTTGTGTTGTGCCTTTTGATAATTTGTCAAATTCTACTAGGATTATTGTATTTGAGGAAATTATTTATATTCCCACAATGACTATGTTGTTGAACTTATTGCTTACTGGGAATATAAAGAAAAGAAACCGCTTTATGTGTGCAATAATTCAGTGGGCATTTTGGCAGAGAATATACTTACTGGGAACTGAAGTGGGTTCTTTTCATTTTAATTGCACCGTACGTGGTTTGATTAGGTGAAAAAGCTGTGTGTA